GGCCTCGAGTTAGTGTCCTAGACACAAAGAAAGGAAAATAACGAGTCAAATAGCAGATATTGCATAGCAGGGGTCGAGTGAAATACTTGTACCAGGGAGATAGCAGACGGATCCTATTGGGCAAAAGGGAAACTCTTATTAGACCTAGGGCTGGACTGCGTAACAATATGGAAGAGTCTGATCAACATTCCCAGCACAAGGATGAGGTCAGAGTATTAAGAGTTCTCATTAGTCGCTAAAAAAGGCACACATACCACATTTGAATAAGCAAATGAAAATGGTGATTGTGGATGCGTCATACGAAAGCACAGCCCAGGACAGGAAATATACCAACCTTTTAGCACATATTTGGTCAAAGGATCGGCTTCACTTGTTTCTTTGACGAGTTGTAGTGTAGTGCTAAGAGTGGCAAAGCCCACTGACGATTCCGGCTAAACATCTGGGAATGCACCACGCCCACAGTCCGACTCTGGAAATTACCATGCAAACAATGGAGACCAGACTAGGTGGGTTCCTCTAATTCTTTCTACCAATATGACCAAGTTTCGAAAACAAGGTCAAACCACTTCTAGATATTGATTATATTCGTAAATTTGCCAAATAAAACAGGATAGTGGATCAAATCGACTATAAATGCTACCCTTAAATAAATGATAAATCCCAGCTCTAAGTGAAGATGCAGTTAATCACATTCATCAAACGATTACCAATTGGATTGTAGAGCAGAATACGTAGGCTATCTAAAATATAAACGGGCAGACTCGAGTAAAATAAGAAAATTATAATAGGCAAATAAAGTCTGAGTGAAGCCATATTAACCGCACTTGGCGTAAGCTCCATACGTACTGCAGAATAGGGTGGACAAACCTTATAGCGTTGACTGCCAAACAGTTTGCCAATAGACGACCCAAATCGTACCCTCGTGTGAGGCAGTTAAGTTGATTGCCAGCGACGGGACGAAGCAGGTGAGTGGTGGTCGCATTAGATGTGGGGCAAATAGCAGCAGTCTGCGAAGATTCGTTAGAGAAAAATGATAATTGAGATATATCAAGTGGCCGGCGAATAGGATGCAATGACGAAGCAGATCCAACCGTTGGAGTTGACTGAACGAGCACCAAATAGCTACGTGAAAAACCAATAAGAGTAGAAAAAAAATTTATCATCGTTCAAAAAAATTCAATGAAGTCAATTAATAAGCGAAAAAAGGAAGCTTTTAATCGTTGTCAAAGTAAGTTGGGATGTGTGGAGTTTAGAGTCAGGAATAACAAATTATAACCAGAAATTGAAGATATGAAGACCAAGAAGTTGTGGCCTAAGGTCGCAGTCTGATTTCGATTTATAGAGGTGGGTTGACCTCGTTGTCGCAATTTGGTCTTGTGTTCAGGGAGACTATGTAGAACGCACCGAGTCCGAAGTCGTCTGCCATAGTAGTTGTCTGGATTACCAGCATCTGGCAGTGGACTTGATACATTCTCAAACGTTTCACCGGCATCGTAGTCGGCATCATCAGTGAGCTCTGCCATTCTCCGCACCAAGATACGAATCCGTCAAAGAGACACGTCAAGTCAATCCCTCGGCAACTGTTCTGCCGAAAGAGTAGATAGATAGACAATTACAGAAAGAGGAGTGATAGTGTAATCGTTTTCGGCAGAACGGTTGTCGAGGGATTGACTTCACTTGTCTCTTTGGCTTTTCGTAGCTTGGTGCGGAGAATGGTAAAACTGACTGATGATATAGGCTAAACGTTTGAGAATGTATCAAGTCCACTGCCTGATGCTGGGAATCATGGCAACTATTATGGTAG